TCTCTCTCCCTCGCTTCTCTCTCTCTCTCTCTCTCTCTCTCTCTCTCTCTCACACACACACACACACACGACAAGCACACACACACACACATATCCTCGTGTCATCAGATACCCACAACAACAACAAATCCACACCATGTTTTCAACAGACAACAAAAAGCCACACCCCACCTCCGCACATATTTACAAAGTCTTCACTTAAAACTTTCAATGTATCACCTGACAAGAAACCCTGAAACAATAACTGTTTTTTTCAGTGCGTCTGTCCTAGCGTTGATCGTGAGAAAAATATCACCACCACAATGCTAGAGCAGTGACAGAGCAGTGACAGAAGTGGTTTTCTATCCAACACATCATGGACGTGGCGGACACAATGACTTAGTTACATTTACACACACACACACACACACACACACACACACACACACACACATACACACACACACACACACACAAACACACACATACATACACACGTTTGTGTTTGCGTTTGTGTTTGTGTTTTAGTTTAGTAGTGGTTAGGGTTAAGTTTAGGGTTAGGGTTAGGTTGAGGGTTATGTGTTATTTTCTCAAACGTCCATATTTACATATAGAAATTTAATCGGAAAAGTAATTTATTTCCTAAACCTTGGCAATGCCGGTATATACTGTTTAATAAACACGCAAATCACGGTCCTTTACAGATAGGTTTTTCTCAAAGGCCAGTGGAATGCTTGGCCGGGACGGCTAGTATATATATATATATATATATATATATATATATATATATATATATATATATATATATATATATATATATATATATATATATATATATATATATGTATATATATCTATATATATATGTATATATATATATGTATATATATGTATATATATATATATATATATATATGTATATATATATATATATATATATATATATATATATATATATATATATGTATATATATTTATATATATATATATATATGTATATATATATATATATGTATATATATATATATATATATATATATATATATATATATATATATATATATATATATATATATATATATATATATATATATATATATATATATAAACCCCATTTCTCCGCCTATGGTTCTATGTGTGTTGTTTTCGGGTTGATCAAGGGAATGCATCTACGTAAACAATACGCGACATAATGATTGAGACAGCATACCTTAACCTTAGATTTGATCCGCCGTGTTGTAAATATTATGATTTTACCCCATGTATAATTGATTCCTCTTCTCTTATCTAAATGTTGTTCTGTCTGTGACATAGACTTATGTTACGTCGTAGTGGGCATTCGGTCTACGGGAGGTTTACAATAACGTATGGGAAGAGACACACAGTTATCGTATATAGGGTTTCTTTCAGACATTTTGCTCGGGACGGGGTGGTGGTGGTTAGAACAATGGTTTGAGTATATATTTCTTTTTCGTAAGTGGATGAGGAAATGCATGAACGAAATACTGATCATGCAGATAATACCCCTACGCTTTGGAATAAAAATAAATGCCTAAGATTTTAACATTGTGATAGTTTGTCTACATGACCTAAGATTTTAACATTGTGATAGTTTGTCTACATGTTATTAGAGACTCCCGCCGCCCACGAAACATCACGTGATGTAACTTCTATTTTTAAACTATGTATCCACTCCTTGCTGATCCTTACCTTTGATATAACGTAACATAAGCTTAATGATTAGCCTTATCTCTACCCCCTCCCCCCTTAGCTCGGACCATTTAGCCCTGCCCCCCCCCCCCCCCAACCTCTGTTCCCCACTTTCGCCCTAACCTTATGCAGTAGAGGAAAAATAAAAATTGGGATAGTTTTATATATTTTTAATTTATCCCCTCACACCCTCACACCTACACCCACACCCACACCACACCTACACTCACACCTACACCACACCCACATATATACCTACACCCACACCCACACATACACCCACACCACACCTACACTCACACCCACACCTACACCACACCTACACCTACAAATACAAATACAACCACACCTACAAATACAAATACAACCACACCACAACTACAATTACACCTACACCACACCCACACCTACACCCCACTCACACACCCACCCCCATCCCCACCACACCACACCCCCCCAGCAGACGACCATCATCCCCTGGGGCACGTAAGTCCCCCATCTCTTGTGTGGGTGTGAAGCGAGACAGCTGTCCTTATCCCACACGACATCTGTGAAAACTGCAGGCCTTCTCGCCCTACTCAAACAAACACGACCGTCTCCTTGACAACGGACGCCGCTACGCCAAGTTGGTGTATGGAGACATGCGGAGAGCACTCAGGCGCATCTCCACTAAAGGGAGACAATTTGTTTTTTTTTTCTTCTCAGAATTGTAAACAAACGTTGAGTACTTAAACACCAGACGGTGACTTTATTTTTAAACTTGAGGGTCTAGATGTTAACTGTCACGTTGACCTATACCCTGTCACTATTATTACTTGTAATTCTAATATTATAAAATTGGTACTCATATATGGTGGCCTGATCGCAAAACATTCGATTACTAACATCACTACAATAATTGTTTCCTTAACACTAGACTTAAATCTATCTCTAGAATTGACATTAACCGTGCTCCTAACGCTAACCACAACGAATCATCATACTTTATCTAAGAGCGGTACTGTCAGTAACATAAAAACTCAATAATAGAAAGTATTACCTTGCCAATATTTTTGTATTCTACTTCACTGATCAAGAATGCCACGGAAGACATTACGATTGACGAAGTCTTTGTTTCTGTGTTGGCGGGAAATACCAGACGACCCAGGGGACACCACATGTGGAGAGAAATGACCAGATGACCATAGAGGTAACCACATGTGGAGAGAAATGACCAGATGACCCAGGGGTAACCACATGTGGAGAGAAATGACCAGATGACCCAGGGGTAACCACAAGTGGGTGGCTCTTTGAAAATGTAGTTTTATTTATTCCTCCTATCAGTTAAATACTACCACCTACAGTTTTCTATGTGACACCAAGTACTACCACCTGCATGTTTTCTACGTGACACCAAGTACTACCAGTACAGCACTCATCTACACCCCTGCTCCCCCCCCCCCCCACCCCAACAAGACCACACCCATCTTTTATTCCGCCGGACAATAAAAACACCACAAAAACCCAACAAAAACATACCTAGGAGCCGGGAACATGGCTTGCTCCCATTAACCTTTTTCTAGCATTAGAAGACATTTCGTCTGTCGCAAGGATTCTCAATCTGTTCATTTGAGGGACCTCTTTTTGGGTGGTTTTTTTTTAATAAACACCATTACCATGTAGGTATACCATATTTGTATGCAAATAAACGCAAACAAAAAGTAGTCCAAAACCTGCGTAAAGTATTGGTAAAGTATTGGGAAAGTATTGGGGGTCGTCCATAAATGACGTCACACTCGTAGGGGGAGGGGCTCCGTAATTTTGTGACGATGTGTGATGAGTGGGATGGGGGTAGGGGGGTTCAGATGATGCGACGTCAAACTTTTGCATTATAAAAAAGCAATGTTAGAAAACGAATTTTAGACGTTATTACGCGTTTTAGAAAACTGTTTTAATAAAGTGTAATAGGAATTGATTAAAGTACTCTATTATGACAGAGTTCAGACAAGATTTTGGAAAAATATCGATGTTTAAAAAAAATTCAACTGCAATTTTGAGGGGGGGTTGTAGGCTGAGGTGTGACGACATTTTAGGGGGGGGGGTCTGGCTTTTTGTGACGATGTGTGACGGAGGGGAGGGGGAGAGGTAAAAATCGTCCAAAAAAGCGTGACGTCATTTATGGATGACCCCTTGGTAAAGTATTGGAAAAGTATTGGTAAAGTATTGGAAAAGTATTGGTAAAGTATTGGAAAAGTATTGGTAAAGTATTGGAAAAGTATTGGTAAAGTATTGGAAAAGTATTGGTAAAGTATTAGTAAAGTAATAGTAAAGTATTGATAAAGTTTTGTATAGTATTGGTAAAGTATTGGTAAAGTATTGATAAAGTATTGGTAAAGTATTGATAAAGTATTGATAAAATATTGGAAAAGTACTGGTAAAGTATTTGTATAAGACTAGTAAAGTATGGGTAAAGTATTGGTAAAGTATGGGTAAAGTATTGGTAAAGTCTGTGAGTCTCTCATCTCTCGGGGTATTCGTATCCCAGATTGAGAAACATTGTTTTAAAATTTATACTAAAAAAAATATATATAGATCTAGCTAGATCTATAAACATTATCAAATCAATTTGTAGTTGTTCTATGTCGCGGGTCTATTTTTCCCGCGTGTTTTCCCTTTTCACCCCTGCTACTCCGACAAACATTGACGTCAGCACACTTCCGCTAACGCGCGGTTAATATGGCGACTAAAACGACGAATTGGATTTGCTAGTGGATCTCCCAGCGAGCCCGCAACGAGTGGCTTCCGATAGTTTCTCCGGACGCTTGAGAAGAATCGTTGATGCAACGCAAACAAACAAATTCCATTTACCAACTTAACCCAAGATGGCGGAGTTTGGTTGTTATTGTAAATGACTTTTGATATCGATTCGGGTTGGTTGGTTTTTTTTTTTTTTTTTTTTTTTTTTTTTTTTTTTTTTTTTGAAGGAAAGGTGGGGAGCATTGGATCTGATTCGATTTGAATAATCGAAGGAAAAAAAAAATAAAACGTAAAAAAAAAGTTAAATATTTGCTTTTAGAGTTATGTACAAATTGTGATGCAAGTTTACATTTTCTAGGATAAAAGATTTTTAGGCGTCTCTTTGAGGTGCGCGGAATTGAATAATTTTTTTTTCCATTTCCATATGTTAATTGGACTACGGTGACGCTGAAAGACGCGCTCATTGGCTGGTTTTTTTAATCTCAGCTCAGTGCCGTCGATTATCGTATCACGTGATCGCGGGGGGAAAGCGTCGAGCAGCCAGTACCTTAGCAACGACGCGCGTTTTCTCGTCCACCTCTCGTTGGCGCACGAGATCGCGACGTCGCACTTGCTGGCGTGGGTTGTTGGGGCGGTATTTAAAACCTTAAACGGCACCACTTGGCGGAAAGGAACATTACATTTTGAAAGCGGGAAAAAAAAAGTTTTTTTCTTTTTTAAAAATTGTTAGTCTAAAATATTAGAGAACTGTTTGCCTAATAGCAAGTTTATTTAAATCAATTTTTAATTAAAAGATTGTAAGCGAAGTATTAGTGTGAATAATTTTCAAAAAACAAACAAATAAAAAGAATTTTTTATAACCCATTTCATAATTTCGGAGCGCAGAAGAGCTACAAGAAAATTTGATATTGAAACTGTCCAGATCAAGCCAACAAAGGTAGGCCAATTTTCGACCAAAACAATTTATTTCAAACTGTGTTTAAGTACCGTAGTATCTGTCCTTCTCTGTAATATTTTTATCCTCTAAAAATATTTTTATTTTATGGACATCTTTGCGTTATTAAAAACAAAATTTATTTACTGTACTTGAAAGTAGAAAGAAAATCAGCTAATATGTTATTGAGCTTTTATGCGTCTTAAGACTTCTTTACGGTGATTTTGTTTTTAAAATTTGTTTCTCCTGTTAAAAAAAAAAGGTAAACGTTAATACAAAAACCATTATCTCATCTGGGATATTTTTACTTTACGGGTCAGTGTAAATCCTATCTTTTGTTTAATATTTTAATACATTTTTAGTCAACAAATTCGTCTCGATTTCATGATTAGCGATAGCTATTGTTTGTATTATATTGCTTGAAATTCAATAGCCTTCCCATTTTTAAAAAAACAATTCTTGAAACCACATCTTAACAAAAAACGCGAAGTCATGATTTACTCTGTAGTGGTCGCTATTGAAAGCACGATCGGCAGACTAGAAACCACAATTATCCATTGATTTCTAAAGTACGACCCGCTAGACAACATCAAAGCAAAAAAAAAAAAAAAACGATTTGAAACTATAGAGGAAATTATCTACTTCTTCTTCTTCGTTCTTAATTGCATGGTGGACGGCATATCCCCCAAAACAATTAAGTAGTAGGCCTACGTCTCAACTGGTTATACGCCATATAGGCCGTTAACACAAAATTCAGCCTGCTTTTCTTTCTAGATTTGCTTCGATAGCCTTTCGTCCTTCCTTTACAAAGCTACAAGACAGCAGTTGTTTGATTTTGGAGTTTTCTCTAAAAAAGCAATATTAGAAAACTAATTTTAGCCGTTATTTCAAGTTTTAGAAAACTGTTTCAATAAATTGTAAAAGGAATTGATTAAAATACTCCTATAATGACAGAGTTCAGACAAGATTTTGGAAAAATGTCGATGTTTTAAGAAAAATTCAACTGCAATTATGAGGGGGGGGGGGTTATAGGCTGAGGTGTGACGTCATTTTAGGGGGGGGGGGTCTGGTTTTTTGTGTCGATGTGTGACGGAGGGGAGGGGGAGGTAAAAATCGTCCAAAAAGCGTGACGTCATTTATGGATGACCCCCTAACCGTCAGCTTTACCAACCCGACAGGAAATTATCATTTAACTTTAAAATGCGGGACCTTGAAAAAAAAAGGGGGGGGGGAGGTCTCAGTCCGTGCAGTTAAAGAGTGTTAATTTTTTACTTGACACGTCTAGCTGCATTGTCGCCCATCTGCACTGTAAACGTTAGGTATCAATAAAAGATGAAGTTATGAAGCACTCAGCGCCAGGGTTTCTTTCAGATGTTTTTCTATGGTGAGGGGGAGGAGAAAGCACTTAAAGTTTTTTTTTCCGGGGAAGGGCACACAAGTTCATGATTTTAGAAAGGGCGCACGCTGGTTAAAGTAAATATATTCTATGTAAAAGTTTTTTTCATCGAGGGGAGGGGTTAGGCGTGCACTGGAGAGGGGGTCAGTGCCGCCCCCTCCGAAAAGATGCCTAAATGAAACTCTCTTCAACATCTCTGTCTGCTAAACAATGACACATCCCCCAGTGATAGATACACACGCACACACATACACACACACGCACGCACATACACACATGCACAGACATACACACAGAACCACATGACAAAACCTCACCAGTAGGTAATTAAAACTCATTGACACTCGGACACACTGACACACGGACACTCGCATCCCAGACATGCGTGCATACACAGCCACAAACATACACACTTACACAGGAATAGATAAAAACACACAGACATGCATACACAGCCACAAACACACACACAAACACAGAGATACGCCTGCATACGTACAGAGAGTTAATCTCATTCACAATATCTAATCAGATCATGCAATTACACTGCATGTAAAAATGTAAACCCCCACATATTGTATTACATGCTCGTTGTCTTCCATTGACAGACACTCCCCTTACAGGTATGAAACACAAGAGTCGCCCACATTTATTTCACAATTAAAAAAAACCCAGCTATTTTGTTACAAAATTATCCATTAAAAATTATCTATGTTATTTTCTAAGCTTTGCTTTCATCTATTTTTTTAAGAAATTATCTTTTTTTTTTCCTTTGTGGAAAAAGCGTCTAGATAAAAATAAAAGTTTACGATATTAATTTTTTTTTGGGGTGTTCAACGTGTATCTATATATCTCTGATAAAACGTTTCATTAAATTCGATATTTTTTAGGTTTCTGTAATTTAAGTAGAGCTCTTTAAAAAAAATCAAAGTGAAGCATATTATGCATTACGGAAGTGATACATAAATCATATATATAATTTAAGACAATTTAACATAATTAATATACAACTATATTTTACTTTAAAGGACAAATATATTATTTATATACAACTATATTTTGCTTTAAAGGACAATTATATTATTTATATACAACTATATTTTGCTCTAAATGAGAAATATATTATTTCAATAAATTCTGTGTGAGATCTATGCTATAGAAAATTTAACTTAAAACAGATTCAAGAAAGCTCATTTTATTCGACAGAGGTTTATATCGTTTATGAGAGCCAATTGTTTTTATAAACCCATGTAGGTTTAGCTCTACATCGCTGCAGCTCTATAATATATTTCTAGAAAGCCCAACTGCTATTGCTCTATATCACATGGCAAGCCAATATAGCTCTAAAAAGCCCCTTTTTTTTTGGTGTAGCCCTATAAAGCCCACCACAGTTCAGCACAGGAGAGTGGAACGAGTCCCAAGATGATGACGCAGCTTTGGGCAGTTGTCGTCTGCCAACGTAAGTCCGGAGAATTATTGCGCCAATACATCTTGGCTTGTCGGATATCTAGAACCCAATGGGGTCTGGGTTGGGGTCAGTTGGGGTCAGTTGGGGTGTTTTGAATGTATGTATTCGATTTATGTGACGTCAGTTGTGACGTCTTATGGTAAGTGGTTTGTAAATGAAATTATTATATTTTAGAATGTATGGTTACCCATGACCAATGTGGGTTGGTGAAGTAGACAGGTAACCTATTGTAAGCTACCAATTCTTTTAGGGTCCCTGGGGAGTAAGGGTCTGCGGACACACCTTTCCATCGGACCCGGGTTTGGGCAACTCTCTTTATAAGCGTCCACTGTTCTTCTTCAGGATTTCCGATTGTAATAATAAGTCATTATTGTGGTATCTAACGTTTTTACATTTAATGTAACACATATTAAATGTGCACCTATTTATTAAAACTCTTTAACTATTCTTAACACTCCAAAAAAATGTATCAATGAGAAGGTTAATTTATCGGCAATTTTAAACAAAGGACCTCAACTCAAACAACAACAGTGCTCTCCCTTTATGAGATTCGTTCTTGTCCATAATATTTTACAAACATGTCTCTTCCAGATTTCCTTGTTAACTACATCTTTCTCTTTGTGGTGTCTGTCTATTATTATTGACCTGGGGTGGGGAGGAGTAATTGGCAGAGGCGTAGCGACCCCTCCCGGCGCCCGGGGACAAACTTTCAATTTGGCGCCCCCCCCCCCCCCCCCACATATTTTTGTATATTTATAATTCAAAATAGCAGCTAAAATGATCTTATTTTGGCGCCCCTAGTGTCGGCGCCCGGGGGACATATGTACCCCCCCCTCGTCGCTTCGCCTCTAGTAATTGGGGAGAAAGGAGTCTGGGCAAGGGGCGGAGTAATGAAAAACAGGATGGGGAAGTGGAGAGTTGAACAACAGTTGTTCATAGTTCTTTTACTCGGCCACTGTGCATTAACCATTGCTAGTCTAATGACATAATTTTAATCGCCGCGGCAAAGGGCTTGATTGATCTCCCGAGACCGGGGTTAAAGGTCAGGTCAAACGGTCCATCAGGAGCCAGGAGCGCCGTGGGCTGTGAGACGTGCCAGATTGGCAAATCTCGTGCCGTCTATAAAATAACATTTAGCCTTCCCGAAACGATGCGCGGACGTGGAAATGTCAGCCTTAACGAGCGGGTTAAATACGGGAGAGATTTCGACTTACAGCTTCAATGGGATTGTGGTAGACGAAGGGACGAAGATAATTTATAAAGATTTTTCACTTTTGTCTCTTATTAGAAAACTATTTACAATTACTAAATTGCATTCTGATTTCTAATTTTTTACATATAATTACATATGTATTACACATAAATTTCATATATGTATAAATGTATACACACATACAAACACACTGTGAATAGAATTCTAGCGACCTTCCCCCCTACCCTCCCCTCTGGAAATAGTCCTGCGTGGTTTCAACATGAAACCCCAGAGGCGTTGCGACCCTTCCCGGCGCCCGGGGACAAACTTTTCGTCGATTCGCACCCCCCCCCCCCTCAAGATTGCGATCTGCACCACCACCCCCCCTCAAACTTTCGATTTGCACCTCCCCCCCCCCCCACCTCTAGATTTCGATTTGCAACCCCCTCAACCTTTCAATTTATTTTTACAACCCATTCCCTAAGGTCGGCGCCCGGGGATATGTCCCCCCCCTCCGCCCCCCCTCCCCCTCGCTACGCTACTGTGAAACCCACTGGTCTATTAACATTGTCTTCTTTCGGTATTCACCCAGATGCTACTGAGTTAAACTTTAAAAAAATACATCCCTATAAATAACTGTCTCCTTTAAAAAAAAACGTTCCTCAATATTTTTTTTTAAAGTATGACATAAAAACTCCTATCTAGCAAAAATTGTCAAGGTCTCGGAATTTTTTCCCCAAATCTTGGGTTTTTGTATGCTCTAAATATAACACAATTTTGTTGAACTATTATTGTCATATTTTTAAATATAAGGCCTGTTTTTAAATATAAGGCCTGTTTTATATTAAGCACTACCATTTATTAATTTTTTTTTTTAAATATGACCTTCTGATGACCAGAGGTAATAAACAGGCGGTAATGTCCTATCCTACTTATGTAAGTATGCG